TAATTTTAATTTTTGATATCATTTGCAAAGAAGGAAAAGCTCTTTGGATTAATAGTGATTTGGCCCTTTCATAGGATTTTAGTTGCTATGTAAAATGAATATATAGAGGGTTAAGCTGTATTTTTGCCTCAAAAGTATTTCTTTAGGAGTAATGAGTACTCTAAAGAAAATAGTGGAGCAATATAGCACATGATCTTTCATAGCCAATGCAATATTGAACCGGTTTTTATAGATTTATGTGCCATATTGCTCCACAATTCTTTTTATGGTACCCATAGCTTATCCTATACTAGTTTTGGGGGGACATGTGCTTTAACCCTGTACGTATACTTGTGGGATTTTTGAGAGAAGAAATATGATTTTCCATTGATGATAATAGTAGGATACAAGAGATTATATATACACAAAGCTGGGAGACAAGCAAATAAATGGCTAATAAATACTAATAATTCTAATAAATCCTATTAACTCCTAATAATCAGATAAGAATATTTACAATAAATACAATATCTCCACACTTCCCCTCAAGTTGGATCATAGATGTTAATCATGTCTAACTTGCTCATGCAACTTTCAAATGCGGGCTTATGTAATCCCTTAGTTAGAGCATCTGCAGCTTGAAGGTTTGTAGGTAAATAAATAAAACATATGATTCCATCTTCCACTTTTTCTTTGATGAAATGTCTATCCACCTTCACATGCTTTGATTTTTCATGTTGAATAGGATTAAGGCCATGTTTATAGCTGCCTTATTGTCACAATAAAGTTTTAATGGTGAGTCCACTTTGACATGTATCTCTTCTAGGATTCATTTCAGCCATAACTTTTCTATTATTCCTTGAGCCAAAGCTCTTAACTCGGACTCAGCACTGCTATTAGAAACAACCTTTTGCTTTTGACTCTTCCAAGTAACCAAGTTCCTCCAAACAAAGGAACAATAACCAAGAGTTGATCTCCTATCAGGATGAGTTCCTCCCCAATTTGCATCTGTGTAGACCTTTATGGTTCTCTATTCTTGTTTTTGGAAGAATAACCCTCTACTAGCAGTATCCTTTAAATATCTCATAATCCTATAGACTGCTTCTATATGCTTCTTCTTCGGTTCAAACATGTATTGGCTAGCTATACTTACTGCAAAGGCAATATCCGGTCTTGTATGGGGAAGGTAAATCAACTTCCCAACAAGCCTCTGATATCTTTCTTTATTAGTGGCCTCTTCATTCTCATTGTCTTCTTCTTCAACCTCGTCATAAGAATCATCTTTTTCTTTTGACTCTTCCTTATTCTTCTTTAGGCTTCGTTTTCTTTAGAACCATGTTAGGGGTTTCAGCTGGCCTACAACCTAACATACCTGTTTCCTTCAAAAGATCAAGTATATACTTCCTTTCAAGGCACCAATGTCTTTTACTTGTAATTCTTTGCCTAGAACAACCTTTACTCTTGTGATTTCCTCAAAATAATCTCCTGTAAGAATAATGTCTTCAATATATACAATAAGGATACACTTTTTACCTCCCTCAACTTTAACAAACATTGTATGGTCTGACAATCCTTGCTTATAGCCTTCTCGCTTGAAGACTTTTGAGAATCTGTCAAACCATGCCTTAAGAGACTGTTTTAGGCCATATAGAGATTTCTTCAATCTGCATACTTGATCACCTCTGCCTTTATCAAATCCTGGTAGTAGAGTGATGTAAACTTCTTTTAGTTCTCCATTTAGGAAAACATTCTTGATGTCAAGTTGATGAAGTGGCCATTCTAGATTAGCTGCCACGGATAAGAGAACTCTAATGGTATTTAATTTTGCCACTGGTGCAAAAGTCTCTTTGTAGTCAATACCGTATGTTTGAGTAAACCCTCTTGCTACCAAGCGTGCTTTTAACTTGTTAAGAGTACCATCGGCCTTGTACTTTGGGTTGAAACTCCACTTGTAGCTTACAAGCTTCTTACCACTTGGCCTCTGAACAATCTCCTATGTTCCATTCTTCTTTAGGGCTTTCATTTCCTCCATGACTGCATTTCTCCATTCTGGTATTTCCAATGCCTCTTCGATATTGCTGGGAACAACTTTATCTAAACTAGTGACAAAAGCACAATAACTTGGAGAAAGAGCCTTGTAGGATATGTGCTTTTGTATTGGGTGCAAAGTACAATAGTGAGGTTGTTTTCTGAGAGCAATGGGTAAATCAAGATTAGATTAATCACTTGCCTGTTTAGGACTTTGCTGAGGTGATTTAGGAGCTACCATTGGTTCTGACTCCTTTGGTGTTTCAGATACAAGTTGCTCTTCTTCCTTGGCTTTATGCTTTTGAGAATAAACCAACAAGCCTTTGTCTTTTTGCCTCTCTATATCTCCCCCTGATGTTGAATTATCTTCTGTGACCGGCACAAGAGATAGTGATGGTGGTAGTTCAGATGAGAGTGATGGTTTTGGTGATTGAGGTGGTAATGACTCTGCTGGTATGGACCAAGAATAAGGAAGAACTTGTTCTTTATTAATCTCTTGTTCCCAAGTCTGAGATTCACCTATACTCTCCTTCTGAATTGTAGAATTGGGGTAAAAGGGCATATCTTTATAAAAAGTAGCATCAAGGCTTACAAACATGTGTTTGGAAATAGGATCAAAACATTTGTATCCCTTTTGAGTAGGGGAATAACCAAGGAATATGCATTTTATAGCACAAGGTCCAAGTTTACTAGATTGATAGATGTGAACAAAGGCTGTGCACCCAAAGACACGAAGAGGAATGTTGGTTTCAATATGAGATGTGGAGAAAACACTTTGCAATTTTTGGAGAGGAGTATCAAAAGACAAAATACGACTGGGCATTCGATTGATTAGATAGATTGCAATTCAGATCACATCCCCCTAATAAAACTTTGGGACATTATGGGTGAACATGAGGGCCCTAGCCACTTCAAGAATATGTCTATTTTTTCTTTCTACAATCCCGTTTTGTTGGGGTGTATGGGCACAAGTGCTTTGATGGACAATGCCATGCTTGTGAAGGAAGGTACTCAAGACTTGGTTAAAATATTTAGGACCATTGTTGGTATGTAGAACTTGGGTATTTGTGTTGAATTGGGTTTTTATCATGGTAAAGAAATTGATACATACAGATGTAGTCTCAGACGTGTCTTTTAGGAGATACACCCAGCAAACACGAGTATGATCATCGATGAAGGTCATGAATCATTTTGATTTGGTGTAGTTTGGGATACAGGATGGACCCTATAAATCACTATGCATGATAGCAAATGGTTTGGTGGGTGTATACGGTGTTCTAAGAAATGATGTTTGTTGGTGCTTTGCCAGTTCACACACTTCACATTTGACATCATGGTTGGTAGGCAAAGGTTTGGGAACAAACGAGATAAATAATGAAAATTAGGATGCCCCATCCTCGTGTGCCGTAACAGAATATTTGTGTCTTTAGAGGTCGATATAGAGTTACATACATTAGTGGCTTGATGGTGACTCATTCTAGCATTCTCATGCAAGTAGAGTCCCTTGCACTCTTTAGCACGTCCAATTGTCATACCCAATGATAGATCCTGAAAGACACAATGAGTTGGAAGAAAATTAGCACAACATTTAGATTGCTTTATTAGTTGGCTAACAGACAACAAATTGTATGCTAATTTTGGTACATGAAGAATAGATTCTAGAGTGATAGATTCAGAGATACGAATACTCCCTTTCCCTGCAATAGGAGTAAGAAACTCATATGCAATTTTGACTTCTAAATTTCCAGTACATGGAGTATATGTAGAAAATAATTGGTGGTTATTGGTCATGTGATCTGATGCTCCAGAGTCAACAATCCACAATGTTTCAGCCCTTGATGTTTTTAAGGCTTGAAGAAAATTATCTCTTTGTGCCAAGAAGCCAGAGACTGACTGTGAAATCTGAATGACACATATTGCACCAGATTCAACAACTTTTGATGACAATTTTGCAAGCTTCATCATCCATTGTCGAAAGCTTATGAGAAAATGGGTACAAATCAGATCAAGAAGACCAAGACATACCACTTTTAGGATTAGAAGCCCTATTTCCCTTAGGAATTTCTGGGTATTTGTGTTCTTTAGGTCCAATTTGTTCTGATAGTACACACATTCAACGAACAAGGTGAAGGCTTGGAAGACCCACAACAGTAAAATGCTGAGACCAGGTCAGAAATGGTCCATCATTGCCAGAACAAGTCGTCATTGCCGGAAACAGCTCCCCATGCGCCGCCACGCCCTCGGACTCTCCCTCTGACACAGACTGGACGAGTGGCGCATGTGACTGCCACACCTGTTAATGGACGCCAAACTTTGGGGTTGCATCGATTGGAGGTCTCTGGTCCTTCCTTGGCTGGCGGTGAGATCCAACAGCACCTCTCATCCACCATTAGGGTTTTGTCCATCAACTACTAGTCTGAAACTATGCCATGCGACAGAACAAAAAACGAGCAAGGGTTCTGATCTAATGTGCTCTAATACCATGTGGGGTTTTTGAGAGAAGAAATATGATTTTTCATTGATGATAATAGTAGGATAAGGAGACTATATATACACACAAAGCTAGGAGACCAGCAAGTAAATGGCAAATAAATACTAATAATTCTAATAAATCCTATTAACTCCTAATAATCAGATAAGAATATTTACAATAAATACAACATCTTCACAATACTCTTTGCAACCATTCTTGCTTCTTTGGAATTTACTTCTTTTGTCAGTAGAAGGAAATCAACTTTGACAACTATGTTGCTTGTATTAGATGGATTTATATTCTGCCCATGTGATGACATATTATGGATTCTAATTTGTTGGCTGTTTGATTTATAAGCTGGATGAAGCAAAGAATTTAATGGAAAAAAATTATAGACGAAATATGTTTTTTGTTTACTGTTGTCTCTTGACAATAAAAGTTATAGAAAGAGACAATTAATACTGAGAATAATAAAAACCAGATGGCCGCTTAATGATGCATGTGATCTCTTTCTTTTCAGGGGAAAATGTCAAGAACATGGATAATATACAATAAACCTGAGGAGCCAAACTCTATTCATGCTGGACTTCTCCTTGCTCTAGGATTGCATGGATACCTGCGTGTCTTGAATATTACAGATATATATCAGTATTTTTCTCAGGTTCTGTTTTTCAACTGTTTTCTTGGTTATCTTAAATATTAATTTATTTACTTCTTTATATTGATGGGATTGCTTAATTTACTGTTGTGCACATTGGAGAAAGACTCATCTTGAACATCTCTGGAAACAATTTGAGTTGACTATCGGATATGACTAGAATTCCACATTGCATACGTACGGTGAAGAAGAACTGTGAAAACTTGTTATTATTCTATTGAGTAGCAGAATCCAGATGCAGGATTTGACTAGATGGATTTTCAGATTTCTCAATAGGCTTAAAAGAGAATCTACTTGCGTCCCATTTGGTATTTAGAATGAAATGGAATGAAGAAACTGATTCTGTGGCTGAAAAATGTCTTTTGTTCTAAATTGTAGTTGCTCTGAATTATTTGGTGCTGTAGTAGTGGATAATCTTCAGAGGTTGATGGTCTAGTCATTTGCTAAATTCTTGGACAGCAAATTTCCAAGACCTAAACCTCTAGACCTTTCAACTAAGAAGAATATGCGCTCCTCTTTTCCCCTAAGCTGGACAGAATAAAGCCTCTGTTATCTTTCTCTCAATTCTCTCCAGCAGAATTTGAAATTTGAAAGATATGAATCTAAAGAATATCATGAATCTTGGGAATTGAGCAGGGATAATACAACAATTATCTTAGTTTTGATATTTAATGGATTATGTTTGTGCCATATGCACCCACCATATCTTGGTTTTCAGTATCTTGTTCTGATGGCCTTTCTATGTGTATCTAATGAGCTAATCTTTCTAGCATCTAACTACAGGATTCAAATTGGCCCACCTTTTTTTCCGGATAAATGCTGTAACTGACACTTTTAAAGGGAACTTATTTTGATGTTTGGAAAATAGTGCATGTTAAGTGAAATCTAACAATTATTGAACTTGGTGCCAAATCTTCCATCTTTTCCTTCTTATTGTTTTATTATAATCTCTGTTTTACTGTTTGACATAAATTTTTTGTCACTTCAAATTCCTAGGAGCATGAAAGCACAACCGTAGGGTTAATGCTTGGTCTGGCAGCTTCTTATAGAGGTACCATGCAACCAGCAATATCAAAGGTGATAAATTATGCTACTCTCCCACCCAATTCCAAAGAAAAAAGCATTTATGGAAGATCCTGGTCCACAGACAAATGATAACCTTGTAGCATTGAGTGTGATGGAAAAGATGTTTATAACGGTTGTAGATTACTTTATAATTGTTGTGTTGAAGAATTGTTTAAACTAAGCTTGAAATATACATGATCCTCACTTCTCAGTGACATTCTTCCATCCAGGCATCTACTAATTTTGTAAGTGCATTGATATTGTTTCTTCATGTTTGTTATGGCCGTCCTGTGTAGAAACATTTCCCAAAATCAATGCTACAGATTTGCTAAATTCTTGCAGTATCATCTCAATATTTTTTAGTATGGGACTATATTCTGATCGAGTACACATTAAACTGAAGTGCTTAAATGAATGAAACTAACTAATCAACTACGTTAAGACTTTAAGCTCATAGTAATTTGTGACTGAAATGCATGACTTTTTTAATGCTCAGAAGAGTTGTAAATATTCTAGGTGCTTCTAGGGCTCCCCTAATGTTGCTATGTGTTGATCTGATTGATTCTTTGTGAGTATTGAGAATTGTTAGGTGGTTTAGATAAAGAATGTGTCTGGAAATTACACTTCTTGGCATGAAATGACAATGAACTGGGGAAATCATGAAAATGCTTGGATGATCATAAAAACTTCCATTGTTGAGGTCAATATGTTCTCATGGGTTGCGTTGTTTTTCTCTTGTGCATGTTAAGCACTTATGACTTGTCATATTAATGGAAAACACTTACAGTTGTCAATTGAGTCTAATGAAACTAAAACAGTGGCATCTGAAAATGGGGTCTTACAGTAGAAAAATGCTGATCGGTTTAACATTATCAACTATTCTGAATCATTGATGTGTCTAATTGATGATAAATTAATAAGGAAATTCTGTTTCCTTTGGAACATTCACCATGTTATTTGTCATCTCAATTTAATGCTTATTCTACCTAATACAATCTTATCAAGTGAATATTTTTTAAGTCTCTGCTAAAATAAGTTAAGATTAAATTTAAATAAGGTGACATTGTAGTGGAATATTAAATTTCAATTGTGGTGGGGTTCAAAATTGGACTTTCAAATTGCTCGTTTGGATTCCCTACCCTTCTCCCTCCTCACAGTGCATATGCATACAGATGATTGTTTTCTACATGCACATAAGTGCACAACTATTCAAGCTCACATTGTTTTGTTTCTATTGTGGAGTGCATAACTTCATCACCTTTCACACTTTCCCCCTTTCATACATTTTATAATGTTCTGAATTGATTAAGCACACTTTTCAGAGCCTTCATGTTCATATTCCTGCCCGGCATCCATCTTCCTACCCAGAGTTAGAGGTTCCAACTCTCCTTCAGGTATTTTCCTTTGTCCTGCTGTGATTATACAATTGAGAGTTGAGACTTGAGAAAAGGAGACGTGATTTATTCTTCAATAAAAATTCAGCTTGTATACAATAGTATATTCTTTATTAATATTAATTATTATTAATATAGCACCCTGATGATTATTTTTCAACTTGCCACCTTTTGTTTCCAGTCGGCAGCCTTAATATCAGTGGGTTTTCTGTACGAAGGTTCAGCACACCCACAGACTATGCAGATTTTAATGGTACATATGCTTATCGCCTTCTGTTCTTGAAAAAAATTGAAGGTTTCCGTTCCCCCCAAAGTTATGAAATTTTTATGTCATCAAGTTGGAAAAGTGTAAATGGATATTGTTGTAGCTGGTGCTGTTTGCACTATCCACAAGTCTATTTCTTCTTTGGATTATTGAGTCAATCTTTATCTATTGAATTCGTGTTTCTCTTGAGTATGCTCATTACATAGCATGTATTTCAAAACTGATTGTTATATTCATTGTATGAAAACCCGGACCGGACCGGACTGGCCAGTTTAGCCCATGAATTGGTGACCCGGTATCTTTTCCGGGCTGGGTTTCCACCTAAATTAGCTAGCCACTGACCTAGTCTGACTCGAGGTCAACCTGGTAGCCGGGTCACTTTTGAAATTTTTTTGTTTTTACTTTTTTTTTAAATTGTAAAAACTAAATAAAAAGTAAAAAATTCAACTTGAAAATTTAAAAAGCGGGGCAATGGAGGGCAAGGCAATTGAACTAAATTTCACTGTCTGTAGTTTGAATTTCGAATAGAGGGCCTTAATTGTAAATTTGAACTTAAAAGATTCAGTATTCTTTTAAGTTAATTGTGCCTTAATTGTTTTAATCTTCCTTTATTTGCTGTTGTTCATTTGTCTAATTGTTGCTTAGCATTTATGAATTATGACTCTCATTGTTGATGATTTTAGTGGTAGTGATGATTGGTTTTGGACTTTTTAATGATTGAAGGGTTGTAAATTGTAATTGTAAAAATGAATATTTAGAAAGTTGCATTTTATTATTGTTAGACTTTTGGATGGTTGTAATTCTATAATTATTGTTGTATTTGTATCTTGTATTATAGATTAATCTTGGATTTGTTTGAATATTTTTATGATTGATGTCTTTTTATTTAAATTGTATTTTTTTAATCATTATCGGTTTGCCCTTCGGGTTGTCCCCTGGTTCAATCCATGTTGAACCACTAACCCGTAACCTATTGGCTTGAGCAGTTCAATGACTAGTCCGATCTTTAGTACCTTGGTTGTATTTACTCAACTCTTTTGATTAATGTCATTTGGGTTTCACTCATTCCTTTTCCTCTTTCTATTAAATTCAATTAGCTTTTGGTGTCGGAGGTTCAATTTATCTGCATCATCCACAGGAGTTTTTAGTCAATTATTAAAAGATGTAGTTTGCTTGGCATGACTGTCTTTGGGTGGCTCATGGAGATCCTATTTGTTAAACCTGCCTCAACAGAAGAAAATCAAATGGCTTTCATGATTGAACTTAGTTCTGCAGAGATGCATTTTCTACCCTAATTTATCATTTGAGGGCTGTTTCTTTAATTCCCTATATTTGGTATTGAACTACATGTCATATTTTTAGGGTGAAATTGGCCGCAGAAGTGGAGGTGACAATGTTCTTGAGCGGGAAGGCCATTCTGTTTCTGCAGGATTTGCCCTTGGTCTTGTTGCCTTAGGTATAAATGCTTAAACAATTAACAGCTCTTGGGTTGCGTTTAATTTTTTTTCATTTCTTTTTTTAAACTGAGTTATGTTGTCTGAAGGGCGGGGAGAAGATGCACTTGGTTCCATGGACACATTTGTGAATCAACTATTTCTTTTCCTTGGTGGCAAAGTTTACTGTGTATGCTGCTAATTTCTTGAATTCTCCACTCCTTATCTTTCCTTGATGAAAACCCAAAATTTCTTTCTCCATTTTGCATAGTCTAAGTGAAAACAATATTTTAATCTACCATTAGTGCATTAAATTTACTTTATTTCTTTCCACATGACATTATTAACCTTTTGCATCAGGAAGGATCTCATTTCTCAACACTGGCAATGGATGAAAATCGCAGTTCAACGCAGGTTTTGTAAACTCTCTCTCTCTCTTTAAGCATAATGAATCAACTGAACTAAAGTGTGTTATTTTTTTTGGTTGAAATTCTTGCCAAATAACTATTATTGACACCTTTTTCCCTTGTAGATGATGGATGGAACAACTGTCAATATTGATGTCACTGCACCTGGAGCTACAATTGCTTTAGCGTTGATGTTTTTGAAGGTATTTCCAGCAAATCCACTCTATATTAAGTATCTAGAGCTCTTGATGAGAAGTTTATTTTAATCTCTAGCCTTAATTATTGTGATGAATGGCTTGAGTTTTATGTTGACTAGGAGTTCCAAGTAAGAGAGGATTAATGCAAACCTCAATAATAGGTTGGAGAGTTTGAAAGTCTCTCATCTACGATTTGTAGATGATACCATTCTTTCCCTTCCTGATAATTGATAGATGTATTTGATCTCTGCATCAATCTGTTCAAATGTGTGTTGGTTGGGAGTAATAGTCAGGATAAATTCTTGGGTAATTTAGTCAAGTTGGCTGTTTTGGCAGTGGTATAATGTCCTAAACTTATTCCTTCATTTGGCAATCTGTATGCTGAGTCCTTTTTGGATTCTCTTTTGTGTAGTGTTAAAAAATATTAGAGAGTTAGAAAGAGGCTTACTTGTGGCAGGAAAACCTTAATTCAGGCTTGCTTTTCTTGTTTCCATTAAATTATCTTTCTTTGTTTAAGATTGTGGTGGGGTTGGCTAAGAAGATTGACGAGATTATATGGGACTCCTTGGCTGTGACCTATCATTACGTGTGATTATCTCCACTATAGCAAGAAAAAAGAAAAGAAAGAGCAAATCCACTAACAAATACTAAAAAAAAGTATTTCTACATTTATATTGTCCAAAACAATGATTTTTATATGCTGCATGACAGAAAGCAACTTCATAGAAGTTGGAATATGAGGAAACAGATATGCCTAGATACCTTTTATTTTCTATGGATGAAAGATCTAATTGATAGAGAAAGAACTGGGGTCTTGGGGTGGTGAGAGTAAAAGAGATTGCTTGGTTAGTTGGGAGATATGTTGTAGGTTGAAGGATGATGGAGAATTGGGTTCAAGTACTTTGGTATTTAACACCATCTCCCTGGTGGCTTAATGCTTTGGTTTTGGAGCATACTTCTTTGTGGGATTAGGTGATCAGGACTCAATGTGGTGCTGATTGGATGAGATGCTAATCTTAGGATTGGTGGAACTCAAGCAAGGCCTTGATAGTCCATCTCTTAAAAAGCCATTTATCAATTTGCCTTGTCTCAATCTAAGACTTTCTGTAGATTTGCATGAAGATGTTGTGATTTTGGCCTGTGATTTTTCATAGACAGGATCAGAGGCTATCGTGTCAAGGCTTTCAATTCCTAATACCCGGTTTGAGTTGCAATATGTGAGGCCAGACTTCATTATGCTTCGTGTCATTGCCCGAAATTTAATAATGTGGAGCAGGTTTGTGCAGTTTTTTGACTGTTTGCAATAATTTGAATTTGATTGTCAATCTTTTGATCCATTTTTTTTATGGTTGTTCTTCTGTAGTGTTCATCCCTCAAAAGATTGGGTTGAGTCCCTGATTCCCCAGATTGTCAGAAATGGTGTAGAAGTCCTTGGAGATGATGTAAATGACATTGATGATATGGATGCTGAGGCTTTTGTACAGGCTTATGTTAATGTAGTGGCTGGAGCTTGTATATCTCTTGGTAAGAAAATGCTCTTTGCGGTATTTGCAACAGCTCATACTAGTGTTTCAAATCTCAGTCTCACTAAATGACCTCACAAGTAGTTTATTGCCTGAAGCTGTATTTTAATATTAGAGAGAACAGTTTTGGACAATTATTCTGGATAGTAGTAAAAAGAACAGATGTGCATTGTATTCATCTCGTGGCACATCATTACATATGTTAATATAACGCTCATGAATGGTTTTATTTTGTAGTTCTTAGCCTCTAATATGCTCCTCATGTAAAGGCTCTTTGTGTTCTCCGCAAACAAATCATGCGCCCTGACTAACGATAATCTTTAATTGAAACTTGATTGGAGAGTAGAGCAGGGGGGATTGAAATCTTAGTTGCTTGGTTGTAAAGGCACTTTAATACCTTGTCCAGAACCTATTCAGCATAAAAGCTCAAGTTGTTACGAGAAAGCCCAGACAGGTTTTGTTGCACAGCTGTTAACATTGTTAATCATGGCAGGGCTGGTGTTTGCTGGAACAAGAAATGAAAATGCGCAGGAGTTACTTTATGATTTTGCGATGTACTTTCTTAATGAGGTCTGTACATGATATTATTAGTTATGATTAGGGTTAATTTTATTCCCTTACAGTTTTTTAGTTTTACTTTTTTAATCCTTGCAGATCAAGCCTATTTCCTCCACAAGAGGAAATTCTTTGCCAAAAGGGCTGTCCCGATACATTGATCGTGGCACATTGGAGATATGCCTTCATCTCATCGTTCTTTCCCTCTCTGTGGTATTTGCAATTCCCTCCTTCCACCGAAACTGGCAGATTATTGAGATTGTGGTTAAGGCTCTTATCACTGATACTTATGCATGCCAGGTGATGGCTGGGTCTGGACATTTACAGACCCTTCGTTTGCTGAGGTTTCTGAGGAGCAGAAATTGTGCTGATGGGCAGTCTAGTTATGGCATTCAGATGGCAGTAAGTTCTAGAAGTTGTTATATGTAACAATTTTTCTAAACGTAATCTCTCTCATGTATGGACTTGATTTACTCAGCTAGGAATTAGGGAGTCCAGATTGTCATTTGAGTGACGAAAAATTGGTGCTAAGGAGTTGATTTGTACATAGGAACATCAGGATCTAATTTAAGTTTTGTCCCCCAGTCACCAAAAAAAAAAAAAGTAATCTATGTGATGTAACACAGAACAGACAGAAAAAGGGAGATGAAGGAGAATGAGAAACAGAGAGATGAGGAAAGGGAGAGAGGGGAGAGCAGAACGTGCACAGAGGGAGCTTTCAGAAATTAACCCATAATATTCATTCATTAAGCAAAGTCCCCCACTACAAGTGCCACTTAGTCTATTTAAACTAAGCTCTAGTGTCTCATAAGGAAACCTTAATAACCCATCCATATAAAGCCAATGTTCAGATTTCCTCTTACAAAATATTGAAAATAACACAAAAAGAAGCTACCACCTAGGTAGCGTTCTTACAAAATAAAGTAAAATGCAATAATAATAACAATCTACTAGCCTAGCTTTCTTCAAAATATATTATTCTTATATTTTATCATTTTTCCCTTGCTTGATGGAACTCTCCTTCAAAGGGCAAAAAGTTGATGTAACTCCACTAAAGTGTGATGTAGGGTATCCTTCGAAGTAGCAGCTAATCTAGAGATCCTTTCCAGTTTCCAACGTACAAGATAATGGAAAATGACTGTGTAGAGAGAAAGCAATCTGATCATAATGATTTGGAAAACCTTCTCAATGAACATGGTAGTTGTATAGGTTGTTTTCAAATGGGAGAACAATATGTTCTTTCATAACCAAAACAACATTTGCAGTAAATGGAGTGGCATGTGGATGATTTGAAGTAGGAATCTAATGAAGTTTGAATATTGCTCTTGTCAAGATCTTGAACTTGATAAATCTCTGAGGCCCACGACTCAAGATCTTTGACCACCAATTTGAAACCTTGATTCAATTCAAGACTCATGCCTTCATATTTCATGGAGATTTCTTTTGAATCAACCTCCTTCTCTTGTTTCTTAATAACATTTGTACTAGCCTCAATCACTGCCTTGACTTCTTCCATAGCTAAGCTTCCAATTTTAGGACCACCAATGCCGTTAGTATCTTTTTTTTTTTTTGTATAACTGACATAGGTGAAGACTTTTTGATGAGAGTACTATTTTCTAGTGCCATAAAGTTATCATGATCCTCTCTAGGTCTTGAAAAAGTTTTTCCCACCCAAACACTTGAGAGCTTTTAAGATTTCATCAACCTTACTATTCATATACTCCTTGAGCTCTTGAAATTTTTTATCCCCATATTCCTTATGAGCCTTGCGAGATTCCTCAAGGTAACTATTAGTAATGCGACATGATAAACACAAACTAAACTGTCACAAATGATTTCTTGCACATAAGATAGGTGTGAATTGAAGGAACTATGTGAAACATAGAAAACAATGAAAAAAACAGGTTCTGAGAGGGTGGCCTTACCAACGCAGCTTTAGAAGCCTAAAAGATGAAATTTTACCCCAAACTAAGCTTTAGATAATGATTCAGGTCTATCAAATTGGTTAGAACAGGGGAAACCTCGTAAAACACCACAAAAAATGCAGAAAATCATGTTTTGGAGGCTTTTGCATGATGGCCTGTGGGGCGCGTGAAACCCACGTGTAGGGAACTCCATCGATAGCAGAAAAAGGGAGATGAATGGGAACGAGAAATTAACCCATAATATTCATTTTCTTTCAGCAAAGTCCCCCATTACAAGTGTCCCTTAGTCTATTTAAACTAAGCTCTAATGCCTAATTAGGAAACCATAATAATCCATCCATACAAAGCCAATGTTCAGATTTCCTCTTACAAAATATTAAAAATAATGCAAAAAGAAGCTACCACCTTGGTAGGTTTCTTACAAGCTAAACTAAATAACATTCTACTAGCCTAGATTTCTTCAAAATATATATTATTCTAATATTTCATCACTATGGCATGTGATAGCAGTTGTTCCTTGTCAAATGAGCCATATTTCTATTATTTTCTTAAATGTCACAAGGTATTAGAGCCATCTTTGACAAGAGAGTAGCTTTCAATATCTTGTATTCAAAAGTGGAGCTGCATCTACTTCTCCAAGAGAGCCTTGGCCTACTGTTTTTCCATCATAGCTCCTGTCATTAATCAGTAAATATAGTATTTTTCCATGACTGAAACATTTTTTTGGTGAAACCCTATTGGGCCAGAGATTGTAGAGGATGACTCTAGATGTGTCATTATGCTTTGATTATTGGCTTCATGTTACGTTTTAAGAGATGCATGAGGATGTGAAACTTTTTTTACCATATTCGCATGCCTAGAATGGGACAAGGGGTACTAAAATCATTTTTGGTGATTTTGTGTGGATTGTGAAATTGTTTGGAGTCTTGGTTTTTCCCTCTTGTTTTCAGCAAAGAAAAGAACTTTTTGCGTTAAAATTTTGCCATTTTCATTTGTAGTATTTCTAGTTGAGTTTTAGTTGTAGGTTTCTCGTAGTGCTTGTTGCTCAAGAGGAGTGTGTTAATTGCACAATTTAGTTTTCCGTTATTCAACTTTGAAATAAAAGAAATTGAAGACTTAAGCTCTATATGTTAGATTGAAGACTTATAGAAGCTGTTTTTCGTTACTATGAGATGACATATCCTAACTACTTGGGGGAGGAGAATTTCTGGAAGGATGCTCATGGGAAGTAGGTCAAAGAATTCTGGGAGCTGTTTGTCAAACTAGGACGTCAACAGAGGAAGTTCTGGTTCTATTGAAATATTTGAATTGTGGTGCAGTATCTAGTTGTTTTAATTTAGATGAGTTTTCAATTTTAAACTGGGTGCAGTTTCTAGGGGTTGCAGTCTGGATTTGTCTTTTGTGTTATGAAATTTCTTTTTTCATTTTTTTTCTTTTGAATTACAAAGGGAAGCTAACAACTTGAAATGATGAGGGGGATGGAACCCAGGACCTCCCACTTTACAGAGGAGTCTCCATATCACTATGTCATCAGGGCAGTGGCAAATTGGTTTTTAGTTGTGACAAGTTGAAGCTTATGTGATCAACAACTTGAAATGATGAGGGGGATGGAACCCTCGACCTCCCACTTTATAGAGGAGTCTCCATATCACTATGTGATTAGGGCATTGGCAAATTGATTTTTGTTTATAACAATTTGAAGCTTATGTGACCTTTATTCTAATCTCGAATCTTTAGGTTATCACTATCTAGAGTCTGTTTATTATTATTTAGGAGTCTTAGTTATCATTTATCATTATCTTTTGGAGTTTATATTGTATTGTAGTTACTATCTATTTTCAAATCATATTATTATAAAAAATAAAGGGAGAGGGTTAACCACAGCATGCACCAGTGTGCTGCTTGTACACAAGCTCCCTCATTCACCTTACTTCTGTGCACATATTAAATTTTACAATCTTCATTCCACTGGAGTCTAATCAGTTGATAATGTTTGGCAATATGTATTTGATGGAAAATTGTCTTCAGCTTGTGCTTGTAGTGTGTGTATGTATATACAACAACAACAACAATCCTTTATCCCACTAGGTGGGGTCAGCTGTATGGATTGCAAGACGCCATTGTGCTCTATTATTTACCAAGTTTTTAGGAATATTATTAATTAAGAGATCGCGTTCAACAATTTCCAAGAGTGTTCTCTTAGGCCTTCTTCTACCTCTCTTAACAGGGTTCAAAGTTATATGTTCCACTCTTCTCACTGTTGCCTCCCGCGGTCTTCTTTGTATATGTCCAAACTATTTCAAACGATTTTCTGCTATTTTTTCCTCAATTGGTGCTGCTCTCACTTTTTTGCATACGTGCTCATTTTAAATTTTATCTTTACGTGTATGTCCGCACATCCATCGTAATATTCTCATCTCTGCTACTCTAACTTTATGCTCTTGTTGTCCCGTAGAGCCCAGCATTCACTATTATATAACATAGCTGGTCTGATAGCAATACGGTAAAACTTTCCTTTAAGTTTATTGGGCACCTTACAGTCGCAAATAACTTCTTTAGCTTTTTTCCAATTAAACCACCTAACTTGAATCCTATGTAAAATATCCCCATTGATTTCACCATCATTTTGAATAATGGCTCCCAAATATCTAAACTTTTCTACTTGAGGTATAATTTGATCTTTCAATTTCACTTTTAAATTACTGTTGATTAATCTCTTACCAAATTTACAATATAAATATTCTGTCTTACTCCTACTCAGACAGAAATCTTTCGACTCCAATGTCCTCCTCCATAACTCAAGTTTACAATTAATCTCTTCTCTTGTTTTTGTTATAAGAACTACATCATTTGCGAAGAACATACATTTGAGAATTTTTCCTTGAATATGTTCTGTCAAAACATTTAGGATCAAGTTAAATAGATGATGACTCAAAAATGATTCCTGATGTAGTTCAATCTTTATAGAAAAGTCTTTTGTTTGACCACTAGACGTTCTTATACTAGTTTTTACCCCCTCATATATATTTTGTATGTGGTATACGATTGTAAGCTTTTTTCCAAAAACAATAGGTTATTTGGTGTATAATCTCAACAAAAACAATGGGTTATTTGGAGATTTAGATATTTGGTGATAGTAGAAAAATTAGTTTGAAACTTATTCTTTACTTGGTAAGTTAATCATTGTTAACATAATTTCCAATCAAGCAACATCTCTAAAGTGTTTGATATTTCCCTGCTTAAAACTGTAGTTTATTCACCAAAAAGAGATGTAGTTTATTACTAGTTTCTTTAGTTTCCGTTCTAACTCTGCTTACAAATCTACTGTTGTAGGTCAGCCTAGCAATTGGTTTCTTGTTCCTTGGAGGTGGAATGCGGACATTTTCAACAAGCAACAGTTCCATTGCTGCTTTACTCGTTACTCTTTACCCACGGTTACCTGCTGGCCCAAACGATAATCGTTGCCACCTTCAGGTAAATTAGATCATTAGAACCACTTTTACGTATGAAGAATTTGACAATTTTACAATTAATTGATTTATCATATTTGTAAAATTTTCAGTGATTATATAAGTTAACCATTGCAGTGGATTTTCATTATTACTGTGCATCTTCTGTTTGTCTGTTATTTTCATTGATGTAGAACTAATGCATGATTCTCTAAAGTAACATGCACATATACCCATTAAAAGTAGGGGATTTGCAATGCTTAAACAATGAAAAATTGACATATTTATTCATTAGGGAAGAGTCCGACTAGCACTATCTGATTTTGCTTTCTAATAAAATGTCATTTTAATTTTTAAATGATCTTTGGCCTTTTCCTAGTCCAACTCTTCCTTCACTGCCACATACCCTTTCCCACTTTTCTTGTTCTTTATGGAATGTGTGTGTGCAAGCAGATAAGTCGTTGCTTATTATTTATAGAGGCAAGAAATACTTATACCGTACAGCAAATGATGATCCCGCACGACCAAGGAGAAACTGAGGGAATCAGGGAAAAAATAAAAAGAAAATAAATACAGTATATTTGACCACGTCTGCCTGAAATTATCTCCTTGAAAATACTCTAAATATATATAATAATATATATACTCCTTATCAAGTTGGATCATAGATGCTAATCATATTCAATTTGCTTATAGAACTATTGAATGCTGGTTTATGTAGTCCTTTGGTCAAGATGTCTGTAACCTGAAGGGTGGGTGGCAATGAGATTAGACAAACAATTCCTTCTCCCACTTTTCCCTTATAAAATGTCTATCTATTTTCACATGCTTAGATCTCTCATGTTGAACTAGATTTAGGGCCATATTAATGGCTGCCTTGTTATCACAGTACAGCTTTAATGGGGCTTCTACTTCGAGTAGTATCTCATCCATTGCGTGCCTCAACCATAATTCTTCCATCATACCTTGAGTTGAGGCTTGTAGTTCAAACTTAGTGCTGCTTTTAGATGCCACTCTCTGTTTCTGAGTCCTCCAAGTTACTAGATTTTCCCATACAAATGGGCATTAACCAAAGGTGGACCTTCTATCTGGATGAGTCCCTCTCCAGTCTGCATCAATGTATACTTCTATAGTTCTTTGCTCCCTTGTCTAAAATAGCAGCCCTTTACCAGGTGTCCCTTTCAAGTATCTTAGAATTCTATATGCTGCCTCCAAGTGTTTCTTCTTTGGATCAAACATTTGTTAACTAGCTATACTCATGGCAAAGGCTATATAAGACCTGGTATGGGAAATCTAAATAAGCTTCCCTACCAATCTTTGGTCCCTTTCCTTGTCAATTGGCTAATTGTTGCCTTTGTTTAATTCATCATCAAATACATCTTCCTCCTCCTCTAATTCATGACCTACCTTGTGACCTTTCTTCCTCTTCTTCTTCCTTACCAGTATTGGCGTATCTATGAGCCTATAGCCCAACATTTCTTTTTCAATTAACAAGTCTAGTATATATTTGTGTTGTGACACATAAATCCCTTGCCTTGATCTGGCAACTTCCATTCGTAGAAAATACTTTAGCTCGCAAGATCTTTTGCCTTGACCTTGGTGATTTCTTCTTCATGGTCTCCAATGTACACAATGAGAGTGCATCTCTTCCCTCCGTCCATTCTGACATTGTGTGCTCGGAGAGACATTGCTTGTAACCTTCAGCATTTAGCACTTTAAAGAACCTATCAAACTAGGCCCTTAGAGATTGCTTCAAGCCATAAAGCAATTTCTTAAGTCTACAAACCTGTCCTTTCCCTTCATCAAAGCCCGAGGGTAGGGACATATACACTTCCATGATTTCTCCATTCAAGAATGCATTTTTAATATCTAATTGGTGGAGCTACCAATCAAGGTTTGTTGCAATAGATAGAAACACTCTAATGGTGTTTAACTTGGCTACTGAAGCGAATGTTTCTTTGTAATCCAAGCCATAGGTTTGAGCGAATCCCCTTGCAACTAGTCGGGCTTTGAGCTTGATGAAGTCCCCACTTACATCCAACTACCTTCTTTGCTTCCGGTAGATTAGCAACTTCCTAAGGGCCATTTTTCTCTAATTCTCTCATTTCTTCCATGACTACACTCCTCCACTCAAGTATCTTAAGTGCATCATGGATATTATTAGGAACCTTCACCCTATCAATGTTAACAACAAGAGTAGTGTATCTTGGAGAGAGAGCATTAAAACATACATACTTCTGTATAGAGTGTTGAGTACAGGATTTCGGTTGCTTTCTTACTACAATTGGCAAGTTAAGATCACCTGCATCATACTTGCTTTTAAGTGTCTCATTGCACACCTCCAAGTCATGATTTTCAACTTGGATATGCTTAGTGACCTCTATTAGGTTAGAATTTGGAAGGTTAGGAGTACTAAGATGCCATCATCTTGCTATTGCTTCCTTTCATATACTCGAAATGGTTCTTTTTGCACCAAAGTATCATCATTGTCTCTACTAGCTGAAGTTTGGGAAATAGAAGGGCTAATGATTGGTCCAAAACCTGAAGTTCATTGTATTGCTCCCCTTGAAGTGAAGGTTTGGAAAAGAAAGGCTGACCTTTTGTGAAGACGACATCCCGACTGACATGCAAATGTTTATTGGTAGGATCATAGCACTGGTATCCCTTTTGAATGGATGAGTATCCTAAAAAAATGCATTTGACAGCCTGAGGATCAAGTTTTGTAGGATTGAGAGAGTGAACAAAAGCATTGCTACCAAACACTTTGACAGGGAGGAATGAGTCAAGGTGAGAGAGATCCAAATATTTCTTGAGTTTATCAAGTAGGGTGGAGAAAGAAAGAACATGACTAGGCATCTAATTAATGAGAAAAGTGGCATTGAGGACAGTGTCCCCTTTAAAATATTTAGGTACATGAGACATAAACATTAAGGTGTGAGCAACTTCAAAAAGGTGTCTATTTTTCTTCTTAGCTATCCCATTTTGTTGGGCACTATTGGTACAAGAACTTTTATGAATAATGCAATTATGTTTTAGGTAAATTCCTAATTGATTATTAAAATATTCCATGTTATTAGTGTGAAGGATTTGAACAAAGGCTTGGAATTGATCTTATTGTGAAGCTCAATAAAAATGGACACAACGTCACTTTTCTCACGCAAGAGGTAGGCCCAACAAAATCTTGTGTGGTCATCAATGAATGTTACAATTTACTTTGTGCACGCGAGATTGGGAACATGTGAGGGACCCCACAAATCACTATGAATAATCAAAAAGGGAAGAGAAGGCCTATACTTAGAGTGTGGAAGAGGTAAATGATGATGTTTAGCTAACTAAGTCATCACAATGAAAGGAAGCATTTTTATTAAAATGAAATTTGGGAAACAATTGACATAAATATTGAAAATTTAGGTGGGTTCTCCTATGGCATAGCATAATATCCGTATGGGATTTATAGTTTCTCCTTTGCCACAGCATAATATCCATATGGGATTTATTGTAGAATTTGGGAGAAAATAATATTTCTTATTGATTGAATACTAAGATACATATTGACTATATATACAAGGGAAATAAATACTAATAATTACTAAAAATGCCTAATAAAGACTAAGAAAGACTACACAATAAGAGGCAATATTTACAATAAATATTAAATATTCTCACACTCGCTTTCAAGTTGGATCATAAATGCTAATCATATCCAACATGCTTATGCAATTCTCAAATGCAGGTCCACGTAACCCTCTAGTTGAAACATTGACTGCTCGCAACTTTGTAGGCAAATATGTCAAACATAGAATTCCTTCTTCCACTTTTTCTTTGATGAAGTGGTGACCTATCTTTACATGTTTAGACTTGTCATGTTGCACTAGATTTAAGGCCATGCTTTTGGTAACCTTATTATCACGGTAAAGTTTTAATGATGAGCTTGCTTCAACTTGGATTTCATTCAAGACTTGTCTCAGCCACAATTCCTCGGTTGTTCCTTAAACCAAAGCTCTCAACTCAGATTCAGCATTGCTTTTTGAAAAACTCTTTGCTTCTGGCTTCTCCATATGACTAAATTTCCCCACACAAATGAACAATAACCAGAGGTTGACCTTTGATCTTTATAGGTTCTACCCCAACTTGTATCGATGTAAACTTCAATGGATGTTTGCTCATGTTTTTTTTTAAGAATAACCCTCTACTAGGAATACCTTACAGATATCTCAAAATCCTATAGGCTGCCTCCATATGACTCTTCATTGGACAACTCATATATTGATTGGCTACACTAACAACAAATGTCATATTTAGCCTCGTATGGGAAAGATGTATCAATCTTCCTACAAGTTTCTGATATCTTCCATTTTCAATTGCTTCGTTTTCTTCGGTTTCCTCGTCTTCATCACCTTCCTCATCCAAGTTTTCTTCCTTCTCGGGGTCTTTTCCTTTTTCCTTCTTTTTCTTAGGTTTCTTCTTTAGTTTCTTGATCTCAATAGGAGTCATACCTATCTCCTTTAGAAGATCTAGCATATAATTTTCATTGAGAAACATAGATTCCTCTTTATTGACCAAGCAACTTCCATCCTAAGGAAATATTTTAGCTTCCTGGGATCTTTAACTTCAAACTCCTTGCCTAGGGCAGCCTTTACTCTTGCTATCTTTTCAAGATGATCTGTGGTGAATATTATGTCATTGACATAGACAAGAAGGATACATTTCTTGCTTCCCTTGACTTTAACGAACATTGTATGGTCTAACAAGGTTTACTTGTAACCTTTAAGACTTTAGGACTTTCGAAAACCTATCAAATCAAGCTCTTGGTGACTATTTCAAGCCATATAAAGTCAGGTTCATAATCTATTTCATTGCAAATTATCCATTCGTCACTCTCAGGACACTTCCCCTAAATGGGTGATTTAGGATAGAAGGCTTGATCTTCAGAAAACATCCCATTCATTGTAACAAAACTTTCGTGTAATGGGAGAAAAGCATTTATGGCCCTTTTGAGTTGGGGAGTGCCCTAAAAATATACATTTGATGCTTCATGAATCAAGCTCTCCCTATTATCATTGTATAGTGCAGCCAAAAACCTTTTGAGAAATGGAAATTGTGAGATGAAAAGTAGGAAAATGAGTCTCAAATTTACCAATGGGAGTTTGGTATTGAAGAGTTTTTGAAGGCATGCAATTTATTAGATATGCAAACATAAGAGCAGCCTTGCCCCAATAAAATTTTGGTACATTCTTAGTAAATATCAATGCTCAAGAAACCTCCAAAAGGTGGTGTTTTTTATGCTCAGCAACCTCATTTTGTTGGGGAGTATTAACACAAGACATTTGGTGATGAATGCCATTTTTCTGAAGATATTTTTGAAAATGAGTACTAAAATACTCCCTTCCATTATCACTTAATAAAATTTTAATATCAGTCTGAAATTGAGCCTTAATGAAAATGTGAAATTTTTTGAAGATGTGAAAAACCTCATATTATCTTTCATTAAATATACTCATGTCAATTGCGTGTGATCATCAATAAATGTTGTGAACCATCTAGCTTTAGGCAATGAACAAACTTTAGAGGGACCCCAAATATTGCCTGTGAATCAAGGCAAAGGGATGAGTTGGTGTATACGGAGAAGGGATGTGAGATGCTTTGGTGTGTTTTGCTAATTGACAGAATTCACAGTTGAAGGAGAAATTTATTATATTATCAGTAAGATTTGGAAACAAGTGCTTCATATAGATAAGTCTATGGTGGCCTAACCTATATAATACCATAACAACTCATTGCTGGAAGTTGTAGAGTGAATCTCACCACACATACATTTATTTGATATTCCCTCTAGATAGTAGAGATCTCCCAACTCCTTAGCATTGCCAATCATCATCCCCGAGCTCAAGTCCTGAAAAATACACTCTGCATCAATAAAACATACCCCACAGCATAGCTGGGCAGACTTTTCTTAACAGACAACAGGTTGCACAGATTGTCAAGGACATAAAGAACATTACAGAGGACCATAGTATCTGGCAAAACCACTGTACCCATACCAAACACCTTTACACATGTCATTAGCAACTTTAACTCCAGTATGAGGAGTATTAGTAGTAAATCAGTAAAAAGATCTCTAAAACTAGAAATGTAGTCAGTGGCACCTGTATCAACCATCCAAATGTTATTGGTTTTTACAATGGGCTGAAGAGCAGCTGTGAGAGGTATACCTGCTTGAGCAAGAGAAACAGAAGGGATTTTCTCACTTTGTGAAGATTCATGCCTATCAAGTAGCTTACGGAGAACTGAAAATTCTTCTCTGCTCAAGGCCATATTTTCTGATTCAGAGTCCACCATGAAACCACATCCACCCTTTCCTCTATGTTTTGCTGCCCGGTGGTTTGCCTTGGAATTTCCAGCAAACATCTTTAGTGTGGCCACCTTTGTTGCAATTATTACACCACTTGCATGGCTTCTTGCTCTTTGGATCTTGCAGTTGGTTATTTCTTGGCACCATTGCAGATGAATCAATATGATTAAAATTTGACATAGTGGTCTGCAAGAGGTTCTTCCGGCTTTCTTCACACTTAACCATGTTGACAGTGATGTAACAAACACTCACACTCGCTAACACAGTGCTTGGATAGAGGGAGAGAGTAGAGAAAACCAGAAGTGAAGAGGGAGAAATGAAGAAGATGAAGAACAGAATAGGGGGGGAGTTAGGGAGAGAGACAGACGGGCAGGGAGAGAGAAAGGGATTCAGAAACTCAATCACAATATTACATTCATCAAAAGTTTTTTCTTACAAATGCAAGCTAGTCTATTTAAACTAACTTTCCTACCTCTTAAGGAAATTTTAATCACTTGTCCATGTAAAGCTAATGTTCAAATTTCCCTTCTAACAAAATATTAAAATAGCACCAAAAGAAGCTACAAACTAGGTAGGTTTCTTACAAGCTAAAGAAAATACAATAATAATAATCTACTAGCCTAGGTTTCTTCAAATATGTTATTCTCATATTTCATCAGACCGCTTCATTGAGAGATGGTAGAGGTTTCATGCCCATGATTTGACCCATGAGCTCTTCAAAATGATCATTAGGTCAAGAAGAAAATTATGTTTGTTCTTTCTCAACCAGTCTCTTATAGTAGAGTGCATCATCTGAGCAGAACTATTGGTGCATCTCGTAGATGTCAATTTGTTGCCGCAACCTCAGCAAGGCACTGAAGTACTGAGTCACAGTTTTGTCTGCTTGATTGGGATCACATAGCCGCCTCTTAATCTGGCAAATAGCAGCTGTATTCCTTCACTCCATAGGTACTATTTGCTAATTCCCAAATCTCTTGTGTAGTGGTTGCCAGCATACTATTCTGGCTGATTTCAGCTGTCATTGACCCAATAAGCCAAGTCATAACCATATTATACAGGAAGCCTCCGTATGTTCTGGTTCTTTTGTTGCTCTGGTCAAATATTTTTCCTTGCCTTTTCCTCTGATAAATATGAGGATATTTCTTTACCACAGCAAGTAGTTGTTTTCATTGAGCGTGACCGTTATGGAAGGAGAGCTGTCCGATGGACCCCCTGTAGAAGGTGCACTGCTGCTACCAAGAATGGTCTGTGTTTGACTCTTCTTGTGAGGACCCGCCAGTCGATGATTGTTTTTGGTCACCACTATCAACTGAATGAGCCCTCATACAGCCAAACGAGATCTGCTTTTGCTGCATTAGGACTGATGCACTGATACCATGTGGACTTTGGAGGCAGAAAAGCTTATTTTTCTATATGATTATGACAAGGTACTTACAGGAGAGATTAGGTTTAGCCATGTGTTAGCTAATCCCCAGATTCTTCCTAAAATCATGGGAATTAAATAAAAACAATAATAATAGAGATATATTCAGATCTGGCCAAAATATATGGCCCATTAGAGATATTGAAATGTATAATAAAATAAACCCTAATGAAAAAACATAAATTAGCACACTTCAATGTTAAGACTTAATTTCGATTTTACAATTTTTTTTTTGGTGTGTTAATTAGTTCCACACACAAACCACACTTCTTAAATTAAAAGTTATCATACCTTGCGCATCTTATTTACTCAATTCTTCCTTCACATGCCTCATTTATATAAAGTGAGGTCTGTAATTTTGAATTAACGAGGTCCTAGTAATATGAATAGGCTTAGGGGGCTTATTGTAAATTACATTTTTTTGCAGGCATTTCGCCATCTATATATCCTTGCAACTGAGGCACGCTGGATTCAGACAGTTGATGTTGACACTGGTTTGCCTGTTTATGCTCCTCTTGAGGTCACAATTAGAGAAACTGAACATTATGCAGAATCAAGTTTTAGTGCGGTTACTCCTTGCCTTCTGCCAGAACGTGCTATTGTAAGTTTGGAAGATCGTTGAGTGAAACCATGTGGGATACTGCAGTCTCTCTTGTGTTTATATGCTTTTGTCCTTGAAATATTCTGTTTCAAAGGACAATCCAGTTCACTGATTTTGAAATTAATCTTTCTTTCTGTTGTATTAGAGAATGGCAACTGTGGATCTAAGTATTTTGGGTATTATGCTTTGATGTTTACAGTTGAAAAGAATTCATGTTTGTGGGCCCCGCTACTGGCCCCGACTAATAGACTTTGCCCCTGAAGGTGAACGTTTATACTGTTCTGTAATATTTGTTCGGAGGTGTTTTCTACTATATTTTCTTGAATGAATAAGCCAATGCTCCATTTGGTAACAGATAAGCCTTGGTGGAATTTTGGTGACAATGACAATCCATTCAATTCTGGTGTTTTGTATATCAAACGAAAAGTTGGAGCCTGTTCATATGTTGATGATCCAATTGGATGCCAGTCACTTCTTTCCCGGGCATTGCACAAGGTTGAAAGTAGATACAGTTGTTTTATTATGTTTGCAAGTTTAGCAAAATGTTATAGAGAATTTAATTTTTCCCCCCCTTAATCTAGGTGTTTGGTTCGACAAGTTTGAAAGCATTTGATCCAATTACTGACGGCCATAGTGAACCTGGTTCTGTTACAGTGGACCAGTTGGTCAGTACCTTCTCATCTGATCCTAGTTTGATAGCTTTTGCACAACTGTGCTGTGACCCTTCCTGGTATAGTAGGTGAGCTCCCTATATCTAGATCCTTTCTTTATCTGCTCTATCTAGATCATTCTAATTTACGAGTTTCATAAATATTATATTATATTATACAGATGTGGTACTTGTTGACGGATAACAAATTGACTTTTTTATTAAAATGGTGCAATGAAACAAACATAAATCATAGTAATAGATGAAGGTTGTTCTGAGCCTGACTGTTCAACCGTATTTTTTATTCCAATTCTACCAGATGTCCTTTATCTTGTATAGCACTCTAAAATTTCCTTGCAGGTCTGATGTTGATTTCCAGGAATATTGCTTGCAAGTATTATTTGAGTGTGTTAGCAAGGATAGACCGGCTCTTTTACAGGTAGGAGAACATGGAGGGGTGGGGCTAGTTTGTATTTGAAATTCAAATTTGATGATGCTTTAGTGTCTTTGATGCTGGTTGCATTACCAAAGATCTTATATTCCTTTTACTGCTTATTTCGTTGTGATTCACATGGAAAGTTTTGAATTTGATAGGATGATTTTTTTTTTTTTTGGGGGGGGGGGGGGTTCAGACATGTTTGTAATGTCTATTTCAAACTGATGCGTGTACATGCTTTGCATATTCACAAATAAATGTGATGTTTCTTTATATGCTAAAATTCAGATGGCCCATTTGTTGATGGGCTTATTGTGCAGGTATATTTGTCATTATACACTACAATTGGATCAATGGTTGATCAAGTTACCAATGGTACTATTGTTTTTGGGGACTCGCTCTCGATATCTGGTTTTAAGGTAAGTTTCTCTTGCAGACCTTTACTGCTCAACCAAGGATAGTTACTGCTTTCTACAGCCGTTTATTCCCCCCCCCCCCGGTTTTCTTGGGGTGCTATGATTAAAAATGGGCAGAGCTAGAGAGGCCCACCCTTTTATCAGGCTTGTCCCCTTCCAGGGGTCATATTTCACCTGGGATGAGTTGTGATTGATCCTTTCTATCAGATTGAAGTTGAAGTATCACTTCTGCCCTTTGTTCTAGCGAAATAGCGATTTTATAATCAGGTGCTGATTTATGCTGCAGATTGCACTTACTTATATTGAGGCTTCAATGACTGGAAAATTATCTGGTCCAAAGGGAGGAATTGTCCAACCAATTTTTGTAGCTTCTCTCAAGAAGCAGGTGGAGGAACTCCTAAATTGTTCCCAGGATTTGAAGGATGATTTTCATAACTATGTGAAGTCGGGGAAGTGGCCTGATGGGAAATCCCGAGAGAAACGTGCCATACTTCTTTCTTGGTTCCTCCAGTGGTTTGGGGTACCACCTTCATCCGTGATCCAGACTGCTATGAACAGAGTCAAGCCTAAGCTTATGTTTTCTTCTGTTCCGTTGTTGCGTCTGTTCTTTCCAAGCACTCATATCAATGTTATTAATGAGATAGATAGGTGTTTGTCCTGCTCTTAGGTCTAGAGCCTTTATTTCAATGTAATGCATGTTCAGTTTTTGGCGAATCAATATAGAAATATAAACATATTTAACAAAATCATTTCTATCACTAGCCTTTTGTCTTTTCATAACCTGTATAAAAACGAAGTTCTCTTGCAATATTTAATATTGAAGGAATGAAAGTCTTACCAAATGATGCCCCTTTGTTTAAAAAACTAGGCAAGCTGATGTAAAAACTCATTTACAAATTATTAGGAAGCATGTGACGTAATTTGATGGGCTTTTAAAACTCAAGCTGACTTCGATAAATATTCAGTTTTTTTAATTTCAAAATATTATTTAAATAATGTGTAAATTTATAGCTTGACCTTTCTAGATACATCAAGCTGTAGATAATTCAAACTAGCAGAGTCAACAATTAATTGAAGTTTCACTATTACTGTTTTACCTAGCAATATTCACTCAACTATATTTATATTCTTTTTTTGTGGGAAAGAAATTCACGCATCCTTCACAAGTACCCACTCTAGGAGTACCAGCACATCCTCCTTACTAAAGGAGTGCTGGTACTACTGTGGCATAACATATGGCCACCAGCATTTGTGGTGTATTTATTTATATAAATACACATTAACTCTTTTCAAACAATTTTTTAAAAATTTCCTATCAATTGTTACTAATTTAATTTATAATTATTTATATAAAGTTTTTATAGAAAATTATGTCAGTTTTCTGTGTAAAGCATGGGTATATGGCAAGCTATGAAAAGGTTTTTTTTTTTTTTTTTTTGGGTGCATTCTGGTGTCCCTCTGGAACTTCAATTTTCTGCGTAAATCGTAACCCTTGACAATAATTTCCAGAATTGGAGATGCATCTGAGTATTTAATTTCGTTCTATAATTTTTATGTGCCATTCTCCGTATAAACTATGATTTCTTTTACCTTTCATTTTCCATGCAATGCGTGAGGTAATGTATTTATCAAAAATTCATGATACTATTGAAAATTAGATTTTACATCCTGTGTAGTATATGAAAGAAATGAGAGATTTTAATAAATTAGATTTTAAAAATATGGATGAGTGGGATTGAAAATCTTTAATTAATTCTTTGAAAAATGACTCATGTATCCCAACAAAAAAATTTCAACCGGTCCTTAGAACCTGAAAGTTGCATTATTCAAGTCCTGTAGATCTGAGATTACTGTTGATGAACAATTAGCTTTTTAGAGATGATTGATTGATTGATGATATTGTATCTTGATCAAAAATTGTAATGAGAAGAAGAGGGAAACCTATACAATCTTCTTCTCGTTTGTTTGTTCATTTGTTTTAACAATTGAGTGGTGATTGCACCGTGTAACAGAAGACTTCATCTGTAACAAAAGAAAAGAAAAAGAAGTTGAGGAAGGAAAAGAAGCAAGACACAGAAAAAATGGAGAGAGAAAGGAGGAGTGGGGGAAGTCAAGATTGAGAGAGAATACGGGTATAAAGGAATTCATTCCAGGTGTCGGGTAATCCGGGAAGGCACCAATGGATACAGTCGGCAAAGACGGCCGGGTCGGACTGTTGCTCCGGAGTCAACAGCTTGCCTTGGCGTATGGTGTAGACAGAAGTATGTGCATCTTTCCGAAATTCCGACAAGGTGGTGATGTTGAGGAAGTTAACTCCCACCTTCATGCTTTGCGTCACATTCTGAGCGATCAAAAACAGCCGACGATCCGTCCCCACGTTCAGTGGTCTCGACTTGTTCGCGACTGGCCTCGTCTCCTTCGCACATTTTATCCCATCTGGGTTGTCCCAATCCTCACTCCTACGCACGCAGGTACCATTCCATTTCATCAAGAGTGCTGTTCAGTGGATCAATATCGTATATAGATATCACTTGACTTACTTGATATGAAGAGGCGACATGCTGCTGAAGAAGACCTTGGTGCGGTTTGGATCAACGTTATCATCCACCCATTTAGACCAAGTCCTCAGAACTGTCTCGTACGCTATTGGCCGAGGCACTTCATCGTACTCACTGGACCCTTCACTGAAGGACCCTCGCCTTTTTTTGTTTTTTGAATTTTTGTTCCATCGTCCCGAAACATAAGACAGATATATACAGCTCGTCAGTTTCATGAGCCGGCTGGCTTCAAAATGAAGAGTAATATTAGAGTAATCGATCCGGTGCTTACAAAACTTTCATAAATCCAGAGTTCATCCACCATATGTAGGTATTGAAGATGAGGTAGTCCGCATCCCTCCAGGTCACGCCATGCTTTTCGATCGATTCAGGCATGATTACGCGGTTCAGTATGCTGTGCATCGCTGGATCGTCTGAATTTGATTCTACCAGGAATGGGGCCCAGTAGAACTCCACTGTAGTATTGTAGTCCTGCACGCGCCCGCCCGCCCAGTCAATTACCAATCTCGATGAAATGGATCCCTATGACTATAAGCAACATGGGCCCACACCCCCCACCCCCCCCCCCCCACCCCCGGGGGTTTCCCTTTTTCTATGCTTTATAATTATATGTCCTTTCTTAACTTCCACAAGACAAGACTGAGCGCTAATCTTCCGAGACCAGGACTTGCAGACAAAGACGTGATGGCTTGATTTTTTAACCGCCCCTTTCATTATCCAATCACGTGGCCCACATTCATGCACAAAAATGATTCCCTTACTCGACTTTAACTCTGATTTGACAAGTAGCTCATGATTGAAGGGAAAACTTTATGATCACTATCAGCGTATTATGTGCCCAGAAGAAACAAGGAATGGGATGAAGCAAACCTCAATCCTGAAGATAGTGAGAGAACCATTCCTGCGCAAGCTCTTCCTGCCTCCAGGAATCCCAGACTGTACTAGGCATATCATTGATTCCCACTGGTTTCTGTTCAGTGAGTCTCCAACAAACATGAGCCTCTTCCCTCTAAGCTTCTCAAGCAACAGTCTCGGCTTGAACCTTGATGTATTCACACAAATGCAATCGATCAGAGAAACACCATGTAGAAGGTTAAGGGGAAAAAACAAAAAAGAGGAGACTGGACAAGTAATTGAGACGGGTAAGCTACTTGGGCAAAGAGCAATCTCTAGGCTGCCATCTCCAGTTCTGATACGTAGAGTCAGGTCTTCCATTCTTCATGCAAGTCACTTGTGCTGTGAGGAATTCGCATTTGTCTTCTTTGTACAAAGGATGAGTCGCGTTATCAAACACCCATTCCCCCGTAAACAAATCACACTCTTCTGGGGGCAATTCGACCACATCCTCCTCCTCTTGTTTTCTTTCTTCTGATTCCCCTGCTTTCTCTTCCATTAAAACCGTCATTCCAGTATTCTCCTCTCCCTTCTCCTCCACAATTGGCTTCACATCGATGCCTTCCGGGGTCTCCTCAGATTCTTGTTCTCGGAAGTTGTTGGAAACTGTGACTGTGAGAGTACCTTCTGCATCTTTCTTGGCGATCACCTGAACAGAATTAGCTGGTTTCGATTTCCCCTCCGGGATTTCTTGAACTTTGGACCGTGAGAATGGGAAATCCGAGATGGACTTGACGTCGTCGCTGTACATGACCATCCCAACGAGGAAAACAAGGAAGACTGCAACAAAAATGGAGAGGCCATTGTACTTGCGGCCCTTCATTCCTGCAGAGCGTGTTTCTGCGTTGAAAAGAGGAATCTTGTTGCGGCGAAAAGGGTTCATGGGAGATGCAAGGGTTGAGAATGAGAATGGCTGGGCAACGCTGAGGAAGAGAGAGATGGGAATACATAGATACATACATATATATATATATATATATAAGGAAAGAGAGGAACAGCATTTGAAGGTTCGAATCCAGGAGTTAGGTCGTGGGAGTGTTTGTTTAATGGAGGTTTGGTGAGGGGGGTTTGTCTTGAAGAAACTAAACTGGTGGAGGGAGGAGACTTGTCTTTCTCATCAAGTTCTCAGGTTCTCTTTGTTTTATTATTTTAATCCAACTGGCGATAACCACTTCAAGGTCCAAGGGGGAGAGATCGGAGGAGTAATCTCAAAGCCTTCAAAGTAGGTCGCAGTCTGAATCAGTTGAGAGAATGCGAAGATGGAAGCGTTATTTGGTAGACTGAGTGTTGCTGTCTTTCAGGTTCAGATTTTGCAAGGCAATTCATTTAGCACACCAGATAGTTCACAGGTCAACATGGTCAACAAATAATTAGTGGGGGAGATTATTTAATAAATATAATCGTGGTTTTTTAAAAAAGAAAAAAGATAAAAAATTCCTTCCAATGCGGGAATATAGAAATGGGAATCAAAGGCATTGGTGGTTGCCTGGGATTCGCACATGGTGTAGTTGCTTTCGTGGATGGTTCTGGTGAACCTTCCTTATCTGTTGACACTAAAAAATATCCTGCGCTTTTGGCAAAATCTATAAGGTGAACTTGTGGAATTTCTAATCATCGTTTTAATAATAATATAGCAAGTAAAACAATTCCTACTTTTCACGGGGTCATTATTTATCGGATATAAATGAATACTAATTTCGAGCACATGAGAAAGATGTCTTCAAAAAGAATGGGAGATTTGCTGTGAATAAGAAACGCTGCTAGCCAATAGCATTTGAAAAATGACTGTCGTCATCATCTCCAGAAAGTTCACTCTTCTCACGGATCCAGCTGCCAACTAGACATCATCTCCAGATGATTAAATCATATTGTTCATTCACTTTGACTTGTCTGTGGGGAAAAAAATGTAAAGAGCAACTAATGATAATAAAATACTTGATCATTAATTTCGAACAGCATTTATACCGAACCCTAGCTACTCATGAATCAAATATTGTGATGATAAATTTTCAGTGTATTTTTATGATTCTATTTATAAATCACTTTTAACATATTTTATTAATATTAAAAAAATTTAAAATTTATTAACTTTATCTTAAAATTTAATAAGTTTTTAACTTCATCTCCATTGAATATACATATTTTAATAATATATTTTAATAATACATATTTTAACTTTATCCCCATTAAATATACATATTAATAATAAATTTTAACTTAAAATTTAATAATATATTTTAATAAATTTAATAATATATTTTTTAATAATATTAAAAAAATGCTTCTCTCTTTGTCCAATAAATGAGATTTGATAGAGTACAAATTAGTCACTATAGAGTACTATAAGTAACATGTAATATTTTGCAACATGGACGTAAAGGAATTTTGGTGCTATATCATTGCTATTATAATTTCTATCATATAAATTCTGGCAACTTAGCTTATAGCGCCTATAAGAAAAATACTAAAAGTAAAAAACAGTTTCCAACGGAGTCTCGGTTGTCATTGTCAAATCGATGTCTTTGACTGTTAATATTTTTACAAGGTTTTGAAGTGTCATTTTTACTATATATAAAGCAAATTAGGGATTCAATATTTTAACTATCAATTTAACTTTGCGAGTCTCATACCTATAAGGCGGCATAAATCAACTCGGAAAAATAAGTAAAACATGAATTATACACTGTTTATTAATTATGTGTCGTTTTACTCTATGCTAATTAATAAAAGACGTGTTCAGGTTCAAAAAAATTAATATAAGACGCGTGCAAATTATCTCTGTAAATTCCATCAGATATTGAAGGCTAGAAATGAACATTCATTTTCATAAAGAAACGAGAAATCAAGTACGAGCCAGCGAATTGACGTAAAATAAACTAATATTTTATGTTGGCCTGAAAACAACTAAAAATGGATGAGTGTTATCATGTCAACGATTGAATCATTACTCAATTTATTTGAAAAATTGATCAATAATTTACATGAAATATTTTTTGCTTTTGGTTTGGACAAAAAGGTGTTCGAATGAAAACGACCTACTACCCAATTACCGATTAAACATCCGAAATTTTTATCGCAATAATTGAAATTTGAGAAGGAGCAAGCAAAACAGGGGCGTCCTTGTTTTATCGTCCCACCCTTCTATCATTATTTCATGATTCCTTTTTCTTTTTGTTTTTTTTTTTTACATTAATGGTATGATGAGTCACTTGTGGCTCATATGTGGTGATCAAGAAAAGAGAAGCTAAAATGAGGGAAAATCAAGCACAATTGGAGTAAAGGGGGCTGAGAATGCAAAGCAGCCCAAACGTCCTCTACCATCCGCAGATGACCTTGAAGAAATCACCATCATTCACGGATGAAACCCCTAGAAGAGCTAAGGAGCTTTTATACCAAATCTTCCACCATTTTGAAGGTGAAGAAGAAATCTCCACCGTCAGTGGCTAAAGAGTCCGAGAGCAAGTTGAACTCCCTATGTGAAACCATCCGCAACTATGAATAACACGAGTCTCAACCGTTCGTGGTTGAGAGACGAAGGAACCTTTTTGCATGCCCACAGATGAAGGTCGTGGGCAAAAGGGAGTGTTTCTTTCGCAACCGTATGCGGTACAGATTGTGAAGGCCACAACCATCCTTGTGTTCAAGATGGAAACACGTGGCAGAGCTCTTTTAAAACTCCAAAGCAAAATTGGGACAAATCATTCATTGGAGAGAGATTTTTAGGAGGAGCCGAGGGAAACACTTAAAAAGGAGAGCTAGGTTTTTGAGGAGGTATCTAATCATTCATTGGAGCAAGAGACTGCGGGAGACGGACTTGGGGTGTCTTTACTTCCCAACTCTCCATTTCTCTAATTCAGCACCATTTTGACTGCAAGAAAAATTAAAAAAAATTGAAAGCAACTAAGCACCCTCGTTCAGACCCGACTTCCCTCCTCCAACCATTTCCTGCAAACTGTTTAAAATATTTTAAACATATCATCTATAAAATATTTATTTTTTTTATATTTATTAAAATTATAAAAAAATTAATAATATGTTTCATTATTAATTTAGACTGTTTAAATTTAATATGGATGGTCTAATTTAATATTAATTTTTTTATAATTTTTATAAATTAACTATTTAAATATATTTTGAACAATGTAGTTTAATATTAAATTATAAAAAATTTAAATATTAAATTTGAACCATCTGATATAAAATTAAAATTATTCAAATATTTTAAACAGTGTGCAAGAAGTGGTGAGAGGAGAGAAGTCAGGTTTGGGTGAGCATGCTTAGTTGCTTTCAATTTTTCTTTTAATTTTTTTACAGTCAAAACGGTGTTGTTTCAGAGAAATGGAGGAGAAATGGAGAATTGAAAAGTGGAGACACCCCAAGTCTGTGGGAGACGGAGCAAGGGTACGATAGTTCTGATCTAGGAATTGCTTTTCTATTCCCCTTTCTTTATTTTTCATTTGATGTCGTTTTTGCTTCTGGGATTTGTTGATTTTATTATGATTATGTGTTTCTAAATCCTATGTCAAGGTAGGGTGTAGTAGCTTGATTGAGATTAACTTACTCTTTACTTGCTTTGTTTCTTATTTCTGTTACTGTTGAAAGACTTGTTTTTATGGTTTAATGCAATATTTATCTATTCTCTTTACTTTCATTGCAGAATGTTTGGCTGCCCACCAAACTTTCTATTTGTGAGTTTGCTTCATGCATCGTAAGGAGTAAGTGGATTCAGGCTTAAAAGAATAGACATAAATAATTGAATTGGAGATAATCTAAGTATTTATGGCTACTTCATCGTAGCTTAATAGTTTTAATTAAAAGTTTCAGGATTTAGCAAGAGTTATTTTGCTATAATCATGCACACCTTAATTTATTGAGAGCTAGTTAAGATGATTTAGTAGCATTGATCGCTTAGATTGTTCAGGAATCTTATTTGGGTAAGAGTAGAAGAGTCCCAATAAGTAAAATTCAATCCTTGGCATTCGTTGACTAGTTGGATCATCGTTTAATTATTGCATTTGTTTATCTCACTTTTAATTAATCCCCTTTAAACAAATTGCTTTTATAATCGCTACCTTGAGCACAATTCCTGAAATACTCTAGGGTTTTATTACCACATCGATTGACCGATCAGGTATGTTATATATCTCTGAAGCAGCTCCTTGCCTATCTTGTTTTAATTAAGCAGCTAGCGTCACGAGGATTTTTGAACTCTCAGTCTTACTCAGCTCATTCTTTTTTTGGCCTGAATGCTCAGCTCATTCAAACCAGTTGGTATTTGACATTGTATATTGGTACAAGCTACCTAAACCACGGTTGGTAAATCCTAATTAATTAACAGCAAACACGAAATTATTGGCAACTTTATGTTAGAGAAAAGTAAAAGGTAAGGAATCTTTTTTCTTGCTCTGTTGCTTTCGAAACTGTTGAGTACACTGGAATCTTGTAATTATTCACTCGCCCACTTCTCTTCCTATTTGGCCCTCAGATTCGAGAAGGAAGAGAGCGCGGCTTTTTTTCCAAGCCAAGGCAACTCAATCCTATATACATGTATGAAGCATAAACACTCTCAACAAAATACATCGTATTTCCGTATGAGAGCTATATGAGTATAAGCAGTAGTACTTATTTCTCGGACTCCGTGCATTAGAACATTATGTTTTACAAACCAAGAAGAAGTGATAATACAAATTATCTGAATTTGGCAAATTAAGACATGATGGTAGATAGATGGCAGCATCACTGGCAGAGGAGAAACGTGGGCTTGGGAAAACAGTGAACAACCTCCACAAGAAAAAATAACTTGAACGACAAACAAGGACTCGAATGAAAGAAAAAGGATGGAGCAGGTACCACCATGACATCAGCCCCCACTAACAACACTAAATGTTTCATACTCATGTCTCCACCCACCTCCATTTTTTTTCAAACGTTTGACCTTTTTTCCCTGAACCTTGTTTGAATAGATTACATATTATTCACAAATTATCAAACCTTCAGGTTAGAGACTTTCCAAAACATTATAGGAAATGAACCGCCATTTTCATTGTCATCAGGTCGCTTCTTTTCCGGCCCCAAGGTTTTGTTTATTTATATGCTTTTCAGTCATGTAAAAATATATTATGAGCGGGAACATATTCTCTAGCGCAAAAGGATCATAACTTATGCTGTAATAAAGGGTGAGCTATTATATGTTCCTTTCCTTTTAAAAACTAGAAAAATTAAACCCCTTGTGTATCGTAATGGGAATGATTCACTTTAGAGGAGGCATTGCACAGT